AGGCACCGAGGTGGTCGTCTTGTTGGCCTTTATCTTCTGCAGGTTGATTTCTACACTCTGCCGGTGGCTGTGCACACAAAGGATATTGTCCTGATGGAAAGAGAGCAGAGGCCGGTGGTTGAACTCAATGGGGAAGGTAATACACTGAACCACGTCCCCAGTGGTGGTGTCAAAGCAATCTACTACGCCAACCCGGGAGATGTAGCCTTTCACCAAACACCGCCCAGTGACAATGTACAGGTTCCGGTCACCCTTGGTAATCACAGCTGTGCCATCCATAGGGATGCTCATTTTCCCTGCCAGGCACCAACATTCCTTGCGCTCATCATAACGATAGATGTTGGAGACGTACCGCCTTGGAGCAATGCTTCCACCCACTGAGTATACTGTCCCCCCACAGGTCACCATGGTATGAAAGACAAGCCCAATGGGCAAATCAGGCAACTTGGTCCAGGAGTTGTCATCCATGTCATACCGCCAGGCTGTCTTTAGCCCTGAAATCTGCTCAGTGGTGCCACCAGAGATGTAGATATAGCGACCAGCAGAAGTGGCACTTAGTGCTGCTGCCCGGTAGGGCATCTCTGAGAGCTTCAACCACAGGTTCTCCTGGATGATATAGGCAAACACTCCATCATTGAACTTGCCATGGGCCTTCTGACCACCAAGGATGACCACAGAATCAAGCAGGGCCCCTTTCCGCTGGTAGCTCAGCAGGCTGCATGGCCGCTCCTGCTTTCGATCCATCAGGACACTCTCAATCAGGGTCACATGGGCTGAGCTGTTCTCCATGCCCATCAGCTTGTTGCTGGCAAACATCAGTGTCTTGTTGGAGACAGCATTGAGATTGATATAATTGAAGAACTTCTTGAAATATTTCTCCCGCTCCTCTTTCCGGAAGTACACCCAATTGACAAGTGCACTGAGAGCCTGGTCCTCATTGAGCACATGAAGGTTTTCATCACGGAGTAGGCGGCCAAAGATGACAGGCGGGCAGCGCATGAAGTTCATGGAGCCCTCAGGACTGGCCCAGTAGTGGAAGTTGTCACGAATGCCAGAGTAGGCCAAGTCTGATACCTCTTTGAGCTCAAACAACTCAGCTAAGAAGAGGTAGAGCAAGCAATTGGCACGGCGGATAGACTTAATAAGGAAGTCATTGCAGTGGATCCGAAGGCGTGGTGTGTTGAAATACTGGGCTCCCCGGAGCAGTTCCTCCACGTTCTGTTCTGAGATCACCACCTTGCCACTGTAGAAGTAGTCCAGGAGCTGGTCCACTGTGGCTGGACTCAGGTAGTTGGGGTCAATGGTGATGAAGAGTTCATCGGTGGTTTTCATGTCATTGCTGGAGATGAGGCTCTTCACCAATGGAGAGACAGCTGCCAGTACATTCCGATGTGCAAAGAAGACATGGTGGTCCACGGTGAGGGCCATGTTCCAGTACTCTTTGCGTTTCCTTTGTTTGTTCAGGTTCTGCAGCACAAAGCTGTTGTAGTTTTTCTCTGTGAATTCCAATTTCATGGTGATTCTTGCTGGCTGAGGCAGAAGATCAGCAGCAGGTACTGGAGAACAGACTTTCTCAGGCCTTTGGGATTCAGATGGATGTTTGTTTGCAGACCAGTTGAGCAGAGAGGAGCTGGGGGTGGGAGAGAGGATGATGTCACAGAGCAGTCGAGGTCATCACAATGCAGGCCTCCTGAGGCCTTTCTCAGAGGCATAGGGCCTTTCTACCTTCTGATGATTACAACTTGTCAAGGCCAGATAACCTACCAGGACCTAGAATCTAAGCCCAGAGCTCAGGAAGGAGCTCAGGAATGGGCTGTAATGCCTACTTGGGACTTTCAAACCTCAGTCCAAGGCTGCTTTTGGGATGTCAGAGCCAGTTTGGGTGTGGCAGTGTGTAGGGGAGATGGAGGAAGGGAAAAGATTATCAGATCATTTAGAAGAATTCTATTTCACAGAAGGGAAAGTGAGACCCAGAGAAGAGAAAGTACTTATTCAAGGTAACAGAGGCAGTTGGAAACAGACCATGGCCTGGAACCCAAGCTGCCCATAACTTAGAACTCTTTCCACCTTGTCGGGAAGTCCCTAACCATTCAGCTTTCCACAGTCTCTGATTCTCAGGATCGAGTCCCCTTCTCTACCAAAGTGCCAAAGCATCTGAGCATCCCTGTCCTTTGCCTTCTGACCTTTATGGCCATGACACCATTCTTCAAAATGGAGCGGTGAGGGTCACTCACTGAAGCAGGTGTGCAGGAGCTAGCCACGCCCCAGTGATGGGAGGTCCCGCAGAGCCCTGATTATTTCAGCAGAAAACCGCACCGTTCACCCACATTTCCAAGTGTCTAGTAAAATTTCGGGGATTGTGTGGGTCAGCTCTCTCTATCAAGGGGGTGGATGGACAAGTGACACAGACCTCAGTTTCCTTATCTGTGCAATGGGAATAACAGTACCCGCTTCAAAGATTATAATTTAAATAAGAAAATAACTAGAATATAAACTTTCACTAAATGCAGTTGGCAGGGCGCTGTGGTAGTGATGGTTCTGGTTTCGTGGTTGTCAGGGAGGCGATGATTTCCCATAAGCTCCCTGAAAGGGCGTCTGGAGGATACTGTGGCCGCAGGGTGGTGCTGCAGGGTCACCTCCAGCCACCAGAGCACGTCCCCTCCGCGCAGGGCGCCGCCCAAGGAAACCAGCAACCGGGTGCCTCTGTCCGCCGGGCTTCCATGTGCCGCCGCCAGAGGTGACTCTAGAACTCAAACGGCAGGATGGGGGCTCACGGTCTAGCAGATACGCATCTCTTTCCACTTTTTGGATAGGGGCACTGAACCCCAGCGGGGGCCGTCTCAGAGTCACTCAGCGTCAGCTAAGGAGGCGCAGGGTCCCTCGGAACCTCAGGGTGGGGTTCCGCAGAGGAGCTCCGAATCCCTCCAGCACTCCCTACCGGTGGCTGGGGTGGGAATGCTCTGGGAAATTCCTGGGATTGTCTGGGGGGCTGTTGCCTGGTTAAGGACAGGGTAAGGGCCGCCTACCCCCTTCCCCCTGCAGTGGGGCAGAAGAGCTCATTGGACCCATTCTGATCAGGCTTTAGGGGCTTTTAGGAAGGCCCTCGACATCCAAGCCCTTGCACCTTGCCCTGGCATTGGCAAAAGGGTGTAGAGAGGACGGGACTGTCTGGTCCCTGGTCTTCTCCACTCTGTACCCCAGGTCCCACTCCGAGTGTCCCTCACAGGGAGATTCAGTGTCCCCCTTGGGAACGCGAGCCTCTCCAGCTTTTCCCTTTGTGCCTTAGTAAGAGTCTCATTTTTGTTTATTGTCACCCTCCTTTCATTTCATTCCTTTTCCATATTTGGGGATTTGGTAATTGAACTTGTTTTTTAAAACTTACTCTTTAATACTCTTTGTTACCTTGACAGAGAGACAGACTCTTGGAGTATGGTGACTGTACAAGGCTCAGAACTTCTGTCTCCCCCATTAGAGGATTTTTTTTTCTAAATGCTTTTCCAGCTCTGATCTGAGAAGCAGCTGCCATTTGGTGGCTAATGCTGACATCTTCTGGCTCCCATTGGCATCCAGGCTGGTAGACCTCACTGCCTGGGGCATCTCTACCCAGGAGCAGGTGGGGTGGGCCAGGCCTGCTGCTTTACAGGCTTTAAACTTGAGGGCATTTCAGTGGAGGAAGTGGTAGTGATCCTTTGCTTTTGTTTTAGATCCCAGAGCACCAGAGCAGAAAAGAGCTCTCTCATAAGATGCTTCAAGCCAGAAAGTGAGCCTGGGGCAATGGGTGTCATGGAGACCTGAGAGATCGATAGCTATGTGCCAGACCTTCTCCGGGTGGACAAACTGAGGCCCAGAGAGAGGAAGGGGCTTGTACAACTCATTTCACAGAGATAGGGCTTAGGTTCAGGGCTCTGCCGCCTTTCTTTGCTCTCTGGTTGCAGAGAATGGGCTGTCTTGCTTGTGCTTGGCTTCTGCTGGACTGTGGAGCTTATCATCTTCAGGAAACCTATCAAAGAGCTGTGCATGCAGTTGCATGCCTTTAGTTCCACCTATTCAGGAGGCCGAGGCAGGGGATCTCATGAGTCCAGGAGTTTTGGGCCGACCTGATAACATAGCAAGACCCTGACTCAAAAGTAAAAACAAACAGAAAGAAAGGAAACAAAAGAAAAAGAAATCCATTAAAGAAGTGTCAGTGCCCACCTTTTCTGCCAGCTTTGCTGACTGGCTTTTCTTGAGTCCTGAAAAGCAGGTTTTCTATAATCTCTCCTACAGTGGAAACAGACCCTAACTTACAGACTGGCTGCATGCCAGCTTCTACCACCTGGCCATGTATGTATGTTTGGTGGTGTCCCTAGGAGTCACCAGGAAGTTCATTGACTGGCAGTTTACCAGATGCGGCCAGATCTCTTTCTCCCACCCATGTTCAGCTTCCTGCATAGCTCAGCATTTTCTGTTCATGGAGATTTTCTAGGAGAGGGGACCCTAATATTTGAATTGGGGGGGGGGGCGGTCATCAGTTTATATATCTGTTCATTGCAAAACCCTGAAGATAATGAGGGGCATATTTCAAAGTTACAGAATTGGCCTGGAACTGGAAAGCATAGGACCAATATCCCCTTCTTTTATTCTCTTAACTGTCTTTTTCACTTCCATCTTTCCCACTCATAACCTGGCTACATATGGCTTTGGTTTGCCACAGTCCCATTTTGAACCCAGGGCATCCTTATTTTTTTTAGTTCCATTGGGAAATTCTTTTTGTCTTAGAATAAATCCTCAGTCCATGGTCAGCCTAGGGACTGGCTGCCCTTGGATCAGGTGTCCACTCTAGTCCAACCAGCTGTAGGTCACATGGTTCAAAATTTGATCAGCTTAAGCATTACATAGCGTACAAGCAGAGGAATTGGGGGATATCCTGGGACTTGAGTTACTCAAGACAGGGATTCACAATCATGAACGGCCTAGACCACAAAATAAGCATCGGGCATGAATTACATTGGAAGAAAATATCACACAAAAGAGAAAAGATTTTATTGTCTTATTAGTCAATATTCCTGGATGAAACAAGGGGCACAGCGTGAGACCATGTTCACAGTGCAACATAGGCCTTTAGGAAAGTATTTCAAAGGCTGGCCTGCCCAGACTCCTGTCTTTAAGCCAGCAACCCCCTCACTGGGCCCCAGCTATCTTGACAGATGGAGATGCCATGGTTTCAAGGACACTCAGCTGGGGCTTCTGGGTTGGTCCCACCATGTGGTCCTTATAAAACTGCTATTCAGGGGAGCTTTCCATAGTTTGAGGCAAAACACAGCACTAAATTAGCGTTTCTAAGCCCCCTGCCTTGGACACCTCCCTGGAACATTTGGGCTTGTCACACATTCCAGGAGGGAGCAGCAACACAGCTGCAGTCACAGCTGCCAGGAATAGGCCTGGGCTCCCACCCTGTGCGGGGCAGGGTAGAAGCTACAGGGCTTCCTCTAGGGACCCTGAGTGAGCTCACTTTCACCCCCACACCAATGACTTCATCCACCCAAGGCCACTTGGCAAAGAGCCTAGACAGTGTGAGAGGGGCTTTCTCCCAGAACAGGCTGGGGACATCTAGCAGGAGTAGGGGAGGGATAGGCTAGACCTAATCTGACTCCAGAGAGATCAGGGGTAAGTATGGAACTCTGAAATGCAGAAGAGTTCAAGAAAAGGGGTTGGGGGAGGACATAAGGCAGCAGTATTTGGTATTTAAAGGTAGAAAAATGCAAGGAAGTAAAGCGTTTTCTCCATTTGTTCTTTGGCAATTCCATTAGAAAATCCCAGGAGGCAAGCAGGATGACCTCATGTCTTCCAACTGAAAATCTCAATGATTCTGTGAAACAGAGCCCGGGGCTGCACCATGCTTCCAATGCAAACTGCTTTATGTGTGTTTTGTCACATTTAAAGGAAGGTTTAATACTCTTAAATATCTACCAAAAGTAGATCACAATGTGTGACAATCACATAAAACAAACTTCACTTCTCAAGATCACAAATATTTGGAATATAAAATGTCCAGCGGGGGGGGGGGGGGTATTAAAAGTAAGAAAGGTACAAAAGAAGTCTGCTTAAAAAATTACAAAGTATTTTAAAAAATTGAATGCCCAAAGAGTTGTGGTCTGGGTAACTGTCCAGGTAAATGCTTCAGATGCTTATTCCTTTAATAAGAATGAGCTCAGACAGAGCTGTATATCCAAGAGTGTGTACAGGAGATGCTCAGGGGCATCATATACACAAGCACATACATCCACAGGGACAGACACACAGCTGGGTTCTTGTTGTTCTAGGCACTTCATATCCGTGGTCTTAAGTCTCCCACCTTCCCATTACATTTGACAAGTTACTTCTTTGGAGGCAGGACATTTTCTTCAAAGAAGCCCTGGTTGACAACATTCCCTGCTGGGAAGTATCTGGCCACCACAAAGGAGGACCCATCACTTGCAGATGCCTTTCCCACGCCCATCTTCTTTGTATTCTTCCATACCATGGCTGTGAAGTGTCCTGTAGGGAACAGGCAGGGGGAGAGGACAACAGATGAGTTAGCAGAGCTTTGAGAGGATGTGGCAAGGGATTCTTGAACTTCTGCACTATCTTGCTAGGAGCAGATCCCTTGATCTTTGTAGTTTATCAATCAGAGGAAGGAGGGAAAAACACATCAACTGCCAGATGTTTTTTTAAAGCAGATCCTTTCAGTCAGCCACACAGCCATCTCAACACTTTCCAGGAGTCTCCCAGAGATCATGACAATGGCCAGTGGACCCCACAATTAAGATGCCGCCCTATCTGGCACCTGCCTCTAACCCTATCCCTAAACTGTACTCTTAGTGCAACGACTTCCATGTTATTCTCTAGGAATCACTTTTGGTCATCTTACTTGGTATCTCAGGAAGTTTACTAAAGCTGGCCCCCCTTTACAAAGCACTGGCCCTTTTAGGTTCCATGATGCCTCAGGCTCTGGGCATTCTTCCTGTCTCACTGACTCCTCCTCCTTTTCTGTCTCCCTTGTAATGTTGGAGAGCCTGAATCTTCCAGGGCTCAATCCTGGGCTCCCTTTTTCTCTCTACACATTATTTAAAAAATTTTTTTGGCAGATATGAGGTATTAAATCCCAGGGTCACTTTACCATTGAGCTATATCTCCTTCCCTTTTTATTTATCTATGTTTTAATTTTGAGGCAGGGTCTCCCTAAATAGTTGATGCCACCTTGGCCCCCTCCAAATTGTTTTTCACTTAAGTAGCTGGAATGATTGTTTTGAGCCATGAATCACATCCATTTAGTTTCCCTGCATAAAAGTTTTTCAATCACTTCCATTACACCTTGAATGAAAACAAATGCTTTGGCCTGGTGGCCTTTCCTTCCTTGAACACACCAGGTTATTCCTACCAGAGATGCTTGCGCACACTGGCCACTGTGAAATGTTATTCTGATGACCAACAGCTTCTTGTCCCTTAGGTCCCAGGCTAACTTTCACTTGTTCAAAGAAGTCTTTCACAATCTCCCTTGTATTTACCAAATGTCCTCTTCCAAGATATTCTTACCATATTCTGTTTTTCCCCTTGACAGCATTATGACCATCTGCAGTGATAAATTTGATTACTTGATTATTGCTTGGCTCCTTTACTATATTATGAGCCCCACATATGAAGAAGAACAACTTCTTTTATTCATCAAGATATACCTAGTATCTTGGCATAGCATAGCACATGAAAAGTGTGAAATACAATCTTGATGAATAAATGAATGACAGAATAAATGAATAAAAGTCACATGGAAAAATCATCCTGGAATTTTAAGGTTCTACTTTCAATGGAAATGCCAGCATTCTATATTTTGAACTAAGAGCTTGACAAGTTAGAGCCTCGAGACCCTGCACTCTGAGCGAAACAGCCCAGTTCCCTTTCAGACTACTGCTCCACCCTGCAGACACTTCTGAGGCTTGCTGAAACTTCTTAGCACCAGTCTCCTTCCTCACAGGCTGCCTGCCCTTCACTCATAGAGCCTCTCAAGCTACTCCCATAGCTTGGTTTTCAACTCTCCTCTCCTTTGAGGTCAAAGTATTGATGCTGTAATGAATTCTTTGCCCAATGATCCTACATTCTTCTCATCATCTCTTGGAAGCAGAGGTCAGGTGATTGTCCCTCCCATCTTTAGTGTTTCCCACTCAAAAGGATCAAAGGGGAGTTTACTTCCATGTTGCAGAATGGCCATCATTTTCTAAAGCAACCCGGAAGAGATTATATTTCCTCCTAAATCTATGGTTTGCACTTCATCAAGCTGTGTGAGGGCAGGCTGCACATCTGTTTGATTAACTACCTTCTCCCCAATGTTTAGCACTGGATGAGGCATATAGTAAATATTCAATAACTGATGAACAAAGGAAGAGAGAGAGGGAGGGAAGAAGGAGGAAAAACAGGACCAGAGCAGCTAAACTTTCCATAGGTTTGTTAAGAAGGAAAGAGGGCAACCACTTCACACCCATTAGGATGGCTATTATAAAAAACAAACAAAAATAATAGAAAATAACAAAGGGTGATGAGGAGAAATTGAAACCCTAAGTATGGCTTATGGGAATGTAAAATGGTATAGCTGCTAAGGAAGACAGCACAACAGTTCCCTCAAAATTAAGCACAAATTTACCTTAGGACTCAGTAATTTCATCTTGAGGTATACATCCCGAAGTACTAAAAGTGAGGATTCAGATATTTATATACCCATGTTCACAGCAAAAAGGTTTAACAATTGGCCCCAAATAACACACCCAAGTGTCCATAGACAAATGAATGGATAAATAAAATATGGTACATTATTCAACTTTTAAAGGGAATTCTGAGCGAGGTGTGGTAGCATTTGCCTATAATCTCAGCAACTTGGGGAAACTAGGGCAGGAGGACTAAAAGTTCAAGGCCAGCCTCAGCAACTTAGGCCCTAAGCAATTTAGCAAGACCCTGTCTCAAAAGAACATATAAATTTAAAAAAGGGGATGTGACTCAGTGGTTAAGTGCCCTAGGTTCAATACCCCCACCCCGCCCCTCAAAAAAGAGAATTCCGGGAATGCGAACTGTGAGAACATCATGCTAAGCAAAATAAACCAAACACAAAAAAGGTCAACTATTATATGATTCCATTTACATGAGCACTAGAAAAGTTAGATTTATAAAGACTGAAAGAAGGGGCTGGGGATGTGGCTCAAGCGGTAGCGCGCTTGCCTGGCATGTGTGTGGCCTGGGTTCGATCCTCAGCACCACATACAAACAAAGATGTTGTGTCCGCTGAAAACTAAAAAATAAATTTTAAGAGATACAAGGTTTCTGTTTGTGAAAAGGCTCTGGAGATGGATGGTGGAGATGTTTACACAACAATGTGAATGTACTTAATGCCACTGAACTATGCACTTAAAAATGGTTAAAATGGGTCTGGGGTTGTGGCTCAGTGGTGGAGCACTTGCCTCGCATGTGTGAGGCACTGGGTTTGATCCTCAGCACCACATAAAAATAAATAAGAATGTTGTGTTCATCACTAAAAAAAATAATATTAAAAAATGGTTAAAATGGCAAATTTCATATTATAATATTTTGCTATAAAATTGGAAAAGAAAAAGAAGCAAGAGAGAGAGAAACTGGTATTCGTACTCTTCTAATCTTTTAGCATGAGACAAAGTTGGTGTCTCCCATTGCATCTTATATATGGTAAGGACTAAAAACAACATTCATTGATTAAATTCTGTTTTTCCCCCCACAGTTGAGCTCTATTTTTGTAATTTTTAATTTTAGGTGGGGTGCAATGGTGCCCAGTAACTCGGGAGCTGAGGCAGGAGGATTGCAAGTTTAAGGCCAGTCTCAGCAACTTAGTGAGGCCCTGAACAACTTAGGGAGACCTTGTCTCAAAATAAAAACTAAAAAAGGCTAGGGTTGTGGCTCAGTAGTTAAGTGCCCCTGAGTTCAATCCCTAGTACCAAGAAAATTTAAAATAAAAATAAGTAAATTTAGTGTAATTTATTTTTTGTCTGTATCCACAAAGGATTGAGGTTACTAAATTCTTTATGAGAATACCAAACATAAATACTAACCTACAACATCAAGATGATACAATCAAAGTGAGAATTTAAAAGAAAATAAGCCCTAACCACAATTACACATCTTTACCTCTTATCCCTATATTTGGATTGACTTCCACTTAATAAACTCTGGTTTTCCTTTCTGAATAGAGGAGAAACCCTTCTTGCCCATTCACCTTTGGTCCTTACACTGCTGACCACAACTCCAGGCATTCAGCAGCTTTGCCAGGAGTTACTGCTTATTTGAGCTGCCTCTGCCAGTGCTCAAGACCTTTTTCACACAAGCCTTCTTGAGAGAAACTGGCCACATGCTTTGGCTATTGACCACTGCCTCACTCTCTCTCCAGAGAAAGAAGAGGCTGCCATTTATCCTCTGGTCGCCAAGAAAATGATCAGACACAAAGCTCATATCAGCAGCATGCATGCTAGTGGTAGCTTTTTCCAAACGGATGAGACTAAGCAATCTTTCCTCTTACTGGGGAAGTTTCTATCTGTGCAGAAATAATTAAGTTAGGGCATTTAGAGATCAATTAAAGGACACAACTTCCTTAGCAACCATCAGATACACACTGGTTTCCAATTCTAACAACAGTTCCTTTTTCTTTTTTTTTTGCCCTCCCCAACCCCACACACACAAAAAAAGGATCACATTCTCCTTGTTATTGAGCATGGAAACTTCCTAGGATATGCCTTCAAAAGAACACATTGAATAAATTACAGTATATTCTTGGAAAGGAATAATGCTCAATGATAAGAAAGAATGTGGAAGCTCTCTTTATACTGATATGAGACAATCTCTAACAAGTGCAAAAGAAATCACACACTCTGACACCAGAGTGTAAAAAGGGAAAAAAGAGAATAAATATACACACATGCTGGCATAAGCTCAGAATAACTCCAAAACCATACACAAGAACTGGTCACTTGGTTGCCTCTTGGGAGGAAAGTGCTGAGGGTCAGGACTTATGTGGATAATACAGCTTTCAAATTCTATATCATCAGACTAATATAAAATAAATAAGCAAGCCAATCTCACTTAGACAGAATAGAGCAAAATAATGATAATAAATGCTTCTTTCCATGCAGCACATAGCATGGATCAGTGCCTTTCATTACAAGATGTTGGCTGTGGCTGGGCTGAGGGTAGGGATTGGTTACAGAGTATTTTGAAGGTCCTTCACCTACAACATGGACTCGGGCCAGGGAACCCTGAACAATAGCACAGCATTAGGCTGAAACAGGGTGGACCTGAAAATGTTCAAGGGTCTTGCAAGCCCAGATTATAATACCACTCAAAGTCCTACTCTTGTCTTAGGTTCAGGCTCTGTCTGCCCTGAGGCATTGTCCACTGGTACCTGGTATGGCCCAGGAGCCAGGTTTTTGTTTTTTTTTTTTTTAATTTTCCTCTTTAGGGTGAGAGATGTGGGGGTGAAGTGTGGGCCAGATGGCCAGGGATCATGGGGGTGATCACGGGAGTTCAACCCCATTCCCCATTCTGACTCTTGTGAGATTTCTACCTGGAACAAGAGCCATGGAAGAGGCATTAGATCAAGGACAAAAGACATGAAAAAGTCTCTTGCCCTTTGTAGGCCTCAGTTTCCTCCTCTACAAAACAGGCAGTGGCGCACACCTGTAATCTCAATGAGTTGGGAGGCTGAGGCAGGAGGATCGTGAGTTCAAATACAAAAAAAAAAAAAAAAAAAAGGGGATGTGGCTCAGTGATTAAGCCCCACTGGGTTCAATCTCCACGACTTAAAAAAAAAGCCCTATTCTTGAACAGTACGGCGAGGCACGTGGCAGCAGTGCATAAGCATGTCCTAACCATCAAGGGGTGTGCACCCACGCGAACAGCGCAAGAACTTGCTCTGACACATGTTCAGTTGCTCAAGAATCTGGTTCAAGGGAAAAACAATTCCAGAAGCTATGAAATTGCAGAAGTGTCTCTGGGCCTGATCTTTTTTTTCTTTTAATATTTATTTTTTAGTTTTCGGTGGACACAACATCTTTGTTTGTATGTGGTGCTGAGGATCGAACCCGGGCCGCACGCATGCCAGGCGAGCGAGCTACCGCTTGAGCCACATCCCCAGCCCCTCTGGGCCTGATCTTTATTGAAAGAAGGCAAGGTTCTGCTCACACACCCTTAATCACTGCTCCTTCCCTGTCACTCTGTGGCAACATCAATTCTCACTAAGTCTGCAGAGCTAACTGGAAGATGAAATGCCCCAGAGTTCTACCCACACAGTTGCAAGAACGTCTGCCCCAAAAGAGTGAGCAGTAAGCCACAGGAAATGGTGACTGGCTCTGAAACATGTCACTTCCTGCTTCTGAAGAAACCTTCCAGAGTGAGGAGAGGTCAGAAGTGGCTCTGCTCTTGAGTGGGACTGGGTGGGGGAGGGGCAGGTAGAGGGTCCCCTTTTCAGTTTCCCTGATACCTTTTACCCAGAGGATCCTACCTCATCCTGGGCCCCAGTGGAGTCCAAGCCAGTTTTGGAGAAAGACAAGAAGTCTGGTGAGGCCAACAAAGGGGTGAGAGGAACCCCAGAGCAAGAGCAACTGTCTAGGACTTCAATAAGATAAATGTTTACCGCTCACCCTGGAGGAAGTCTATGAGAAAAGGGATGTCCCCACGGAAGGCTCCCCCTGCATCTGAATCACCAGCTCTGTGTCCCTTGAGCTACCATGGTGTCCTTTGCCCTTAGACAGGGAAGAAAAAGAACTGACCCAAGTTCATGCAACAAATAGTACCAGAGCTAAGACTAGAAGGAGCTTTCCTGCATCCCAAGTTCACCTGAGCTCAGTAGAGTGGCGGTGAGGTGAAGGAAAAGCCAGGGGGGACACCAGGCTTAGATAACATGCAGGAGGGAGGTGGGGTGTGAAGGGAGGAGGAAATTAAGACCAGTCTGGCCTTTTTCCTGAGAGCCACTGCAGTTTGATGAAGAGAGCACTTTTGAAATCTGGCTGCGAGCCAGATCTCAAAGTCTCAAGCTTTAAGGTAGTAAGTCTCAAGCTAACTTTAGAAATCTGGCTGCTGGAGAGCAGGATGGATTGGAGGGAGCAGGATTTGAAGCAAGGTGACCAGTACAAGAGTTGAGGTACCAATTCAGGAATGGGGCTCTCAGCAGCTTTTGAAATCCTGGCTCATTGTGACACTCGGCAGGAATGTGGAGAACTTTTAGCTGGAAGCAGGAGTCAGCAGCTGGGTGCTCTCAGAAAGGAGAACTTTGACTTCTGGACAAGGTCAAACCAGAGAAACATGAAGGTAACACAGAGGAAAAGAATTGATCTTCCGAAGGTTAGTTCCTCTTCACAGACAGATACCCTGCAACCTGCCCAGGCCACTGGAGCCACTTACCAGTTCCTGAAGTGAAGCCAGGCTGCTGGAAGTTGTAGCTCTTGATTTCACTGTACCATCTATCAGCCACCTCCTTTCCTGTGTGCAGAAGGCACTGTTGTAAATTCACCAACAAAATCCACCCGTTTCTATTCCCTCCATCTTCTTTCATAAACACTAAACCTCCATCCCATAATAAAATTTCTCATAAAGCAACAGTGAGGGGAAACATCTGGGATGCTCCTGGAAGACTCCCAGGGGCTCTTGCATGTGGAGCGGGAAGAGCCCTGCTCTGGGACTAAGGATGGGCCCAGGGGGCCTGCACTGGTGTTGTTGCCCTGCCAGGGACTAGTTGCGTAATTCTGGGTGAGGCTGTCCCCTCTCTGGGCCTCTACAATAAGAAAGTTGAACACAGTGCACACCAAGGGCCTTCTAGTGATGCTCTGAGTTTCTGGGAGACTGTCCTCACCCCACCCTGTGTCTGGCTTCTAAAATAACCACAGAAGAAAGGCATCTGGGCTAGTAGGCCAGGAATCTCCACACTGTGGTCAGGAGGACCCTCTCCTGGAGCGTTCCCTGGCCCTACAGGTGGCGAGAGGAGGAAGTGTTTTCCTGAGAGCTGATGATCTCAGGGCTAGAGCTAGAAGCTTTGACCTCAGGGTAGTAAGTCTCAAGCTTTAAGGTGGGGGTGAATCACCTGGGGATCTTGTAAAATGAAGACTCTGGTTTCAGTAGAGCAGGGAGGGCCTATGAGTCTGCATTTTTAACAAGCAACCTGAAGCTGCTGCTGCCGATTTCCAGGACTAGGCATTAGCGTCACCTGGGAATCACTTAAAACAAATTAAAAAGAACAAACAAGGCCTGGGTCTTTCTTCAGACAGGTTGTATCAGCCTCTGGAGAGATCCAGGCACTGGTATTTTTAAAAACTCTGCAAAAGATTCCAATGTACAGCCAGGGTGTAGAGCCATTCAATGCTTTAGAGATCACCTATCCAACCATCTCTCTAGAGCCATGGGGAAAACTGGGGCTAGAGAGGGTAGTGATTTGGTCAAGATGTCCCAGGGTTCCAGCACAAGGCCTTGGACCAATCACATCTCCTGACTGCTGTAGGAGGCTCTTTCCATCCTACATCCTCCTTCCTGACTCATTAAGGCCACAGCCTGTGCCTAGAGGAGCCTGCAAGCTGAGGGTGAGATCTCAGAGGGGTCCTGCCTTTGTCATGCACATAGCTCTGCCAGAGGGGGCGCTGACTCAGGCTGTCTGGGGAAAACCAAGAGGACTCAGGGTGCTTCCCCTGGGAACTCCAGGAATGTGAGGCCGGGGAAGAATTCTCCTGCTGGAGAAAGCTTCAGGGAGTGAAATCGCTGTGATATTTTCCCTAAAACCCCATTTCAGGGCTATAGGAGCCAGAAAGTTCAAGAATGTTTGGTCAGTGTGGTAGAATCATTCCAGACCCAAATGGATAAAGAAATTGTCTTTTCCATTATGTTTGTTTCCAAAATGGAAAAAGATCTATTACTTTCCTCTGATTATAAAAGGAATATACCAGCATATTAAAAAACAACAACAACATTTAGAAAACTGTGAAGAAAGTAAAATTTTTCGGTAGCTGGTGCTCATAAAATCAAACAGAGACGTTGTCCAGAAGCCTCTGCCTCCCCCATTCCTGTTCCTCAGCCTGGGAGCTTCCGAAGGGAGGGCCATCAGTCTGACTCATCTCTGTGTCCCTGGCACCCAGCACTGGGCTGGCCCTGAGCCGGCCATCAGAGACCTTGTGGTGAACTGAAGTCAGCTGGAAGCTGTGATTCAGGGAGCTCTGGATTTCCTTTCTCTTTCTGGGACAGAGGGCACTGGGGCCAGGTGGACCCACCCAGTCTAGTCCCAGCTGGGGCAGAGGAGAGGGGAGTGGAGAAAACCACCCACCTGTCTGATCGTAGGATGCCCAAGCAAGGTTCTCCCCACACTGGCCTCGACTGGATTCTGGGCTGTGCTTGAGGATCCTCGTGCTGGCCAGGGCCTCAGAATACCTGCCGGAGTCCATGGAGTCCACGGTGCTTCCTCAGAGTGGGTGCCACCCAGGGAAGCCCCAGGCTGGTGTGGCTGAGCTTCCTTCCCTACCCAGGCTCTGGGAGAAAACTGGGAGCATCACACCTGCATTGCTTCTGGCCTCCCAGTGGTCCCATTTTACAGAGGAGCAAACCAAGGCTCAGCAGAGCAAAGGGATCTGCCTAGTTAGTGGCAGAGAGGTATTCAAGCTTGGTTGTATTTGATCCCCAAACCCACGTCCCTCCAACCACCCAGGGTTCCTCTGTAACTGCAGCAGCCCCATGAAGGACCAAAGCCCCTGGGGTGCTGGGGACTCACTGTTGGGCCTCTTGGTTGAGCTTCTTGCAGAGCTTCAGTGGGGGGACGCCATGCTTCTGTCGGTACTCATTGTGGGCCTTCAGGACCTCATTATTAAACTGTTTGGAAGCTGAAATTATGGCACAGTGAAAGGCTCAATGCATAGCAAAGACCACCAAAAGTATAAGGTATACTTCAGAGCAATGCCCAACTCAAACTTAAGGCCCCATGGACAGAATGTTGTCCCCTTCCTCTATCTGGCACCCCAGCCACACAACTCTGTTCTACTTTGCTGCTTATCCTGCTTCCATCCCTGATACCACCTTCCACATCTCTGCATGCGGAAACCCCATGGATTTCGTGGGACCTGCAGACCATGTTTGGATTTTGGTCTTTATCCAAGGAACAGGAAGTCTCAGAATGATGTGATTTGTGTTTCTCAAAGACCCTGAGTGGGGTGGACAAGAGATCAGAACAGATGTTGGGGGTGCTGGACAGACAACCATAGGATTTCTGGAAGAAAATGTCTGAAAGAGATTGGATCCCTCATACTGGACCTACAGTGAGTGGTGGGGCTGGAGAGGGCTAGAACTGGGAGCCCAGACAGAAGTGGTCTGGCTGGCCAGGCACAGTGGGCACACCTGTAATCCCAGCAGCTCTGGAGGCTGAGGCAGGAAGACTGTGAGTTTAAAGCCAGACTCAGAAATTTAGCAAAATGCTAAGCAGGTCAGTGAGACCCTGTCTCTCAGTAAAATACAAAATACGGTTGGGGATGTGGCTCAGTGGTTGAGTGTCCCTGAGTTCAATCCCCAGTACTGCCTCCTCCTCCTCCCAAAAAAGAAGTGGCCTGGCCCACACTAGGCTGGTGAAAATAAGACAGAGGGATAAAGAGAAGAGGATGAAGAAAGACAGCATTGCAGAAGTGGAGTAAGGGGAGAGTACAGTTAAAAAAAAGTAGTGGTTGGGCTGGGGATATAGCTCAGCTGGTAGAGTGCTTGTCTCACATGCACAGGCTCTGGGTTCAATCCCCAGCACCACACACACACACACACACACACACTAATTGCTAAATAAATAAGATTTCATTTTAAAAAGGAAATAAAGAAAAGAAAGTAGAGGTGATGGTGGGGAGGATGTGACCAGAGGGGGCTGAGACTGCAGTGAGGGAAGAGGTGGTGCTTATGCCCAACTAGGTCATAAACTCAGAAGAGGGGTTGAAGTAAGGGGGAGATTTAAGTTGGAGAAGCCAAACACAAGCAAGCTCAATGACTGAAAGAAGCTAAACAAATCTGGATCTGAAATGGAAACCATCATCCACCTAACATCTTCTGTCTACCAACTACCACCTACCCAGATCATCAATCCCTCCTTCCCACACGTCCTCTAGGGGGCCAGCAAGTCAGCCCTGTCCTATCCTCAAAAAGCTCATGTACAGAAGGGAGACTGCTGTGTAATAGCAGTATGGTAAATGCCACAAGGCAAGTGACCACAGGTGTGAGAGGAATTTGGAGAAGAGCAACTTGAAAGGGTCTGGGGGATCAGGAAGGAGGTGACTTCTGATTTGAGGCCCCCAGGAAGTCTGGCAGGAGGTAGCCAGGGTAAGATCAGGAAGCCACTGAGCACTGGCCTTAGAACCTAGGGGTTCCCTCTGTGGAAATGGGGGTGAGTGGGGTGGGTTATGAGTGAGGGCCTCAGAAGGCCCTTACCTGGGCTAGTCTCTTCTGGCCAGGAACCTCTGTGTTCTTTGAGGGCTGGCTGAGGGTGGTGGCAGGAAGGGTGTAAACCAGAGTGTGAAGGAAGTGCCACACTCCTTCAGGTCACCTTTCTCAATGCTGCTTTTTCACTCAAGGCTGAGAAGGTGGCCTGAGAGCAGCTCTCCTCCTCTTACCACAGCAGATCCCCTGTTTTCTGGCCTTGAAGGCAAATCCCATGGGACCAGAGGGGAAAGGGCCCCAGGGTTTGCTTCAGGGAACTTTGGCTAGCTGGCCTGGTGGTGTCCAAAGGTTTTCTGATCAATTAAAGAGGAAGTGGACCCACCTTGAGAACTCTGAGACTCCTTGGGATGCCCAGCCACACAGGGTGGGGCAGGAGTTATGGGAAAGGGCTTTGAACCCCAGATCTGCCAGGTTTTGGTTGACAGGCAGAGATGGCGAGACATGGGAAGCATGAGGTGAGGAGCAGGCAGTGCTACCTGATGGCCTCAGGTCTCTGTGGCCAAGCGGCAGACCACACCTTTGTTGATATGATAAGCTAAGATTTCAGGTCTTCTGAGGAAAAAGGGTGATGTTAATGAGTATAGAGTTTTGGCTCTACAAGATAAAGTCTTGGAAGCCAGGCGTGGTAGCTCCTGTCTGTACCCAGTGGCTTGGGAGGCTGAGACAGGAGGATCACAAGTTCAAAGCCAGTCTCAGCAACATAGTGAGGCCCTAAGCAGAAGTAGTGAGACCTGCTCTCTAAATAAAACATAAAAGGGGCTGGGGATGTGGCTCAGTGGTTAAGTGCCCCTGGTTTCAATCCCTGTTACCAAAAAGAAAGAAAAAGAAAAAGGTTTGAAGCTGTTTCACTATAGACTATGTCTAAAAATGGTCAAGATGGTGTATTGTACCTGTTTCAGGTTTGGCATATTCATGAGATATTTGGGATAAGGAGTCACGAGGTTTCCAAAGACCATCTCATGGGAAAATGGCAGGAGCCAGAGCAACTCATGGAAACCGGGTGGGGGTCTTGTTGACCATAGGCTAAGAAAAAGCCAGTAGGGGGGTGTGGTGGCCAGAAACCATGGGCTCCTGGGAGATGGGCTGTTTCTCCCTAGTCCAGTTCCCACCTGTTGCAAGAGGCCAGGCCCTGAGTGGAGACTCAATGGTAAGGGGAGGCCAGACTTCTAGGAGTTCCTGAGCATCTCTAAGGAAACAGATCAAAACAAGTATATATGTACAGGCAAGAGCATGCCTGGGTGCACATAGTCAAGGTGATGAAGGGTTCCCATCTGAGTGACAGGCTGACGCACCCTAAAGCCCTTGCCAGTTTCCATGTTCCAGGAAGGCCACAGGGGGTCTAGTGGGCACCATGAGAGATGCCCAAGGCTCAGTGGAATGTGCAGTGGTGACCATAGATGCATCAGGGAGGGCTCCCTGGAGGAGGTATTCTAGATCAGGAATCATGAGATGAGAAGGCCAAGGACACAGAGGCGCAGAGTAGAAGGGACCCAGGCATATCCTATAGCTCTAGGGAAGAGGGAGAGATGGGGGAGGTGGGTGGATGGCTCAGGGGAAGCCAGTTTAAAGCAGCCCTAATGCTGGGGTCAGTTTGCACAGGACCCCATAGTGCTGTAGGCTCCACAGGCTCCTTGGGGAAGAGGGATATACAAGACTGCTGAAAACTAGGTCACTGCACTGCTAGAATGAGGGAAGTTAAATAAACAAAAGTGAAGCTCCTGTGCCCAACTCAAGCTCAATGCCTAGAAGCCACGCCAGGCACAGGTCCCCAGATCTCTGGGCCAGGGTTCTCTGCAAGAGGTCAGGTCTTTCCTGCAGTCAGCAGGGAAGCCCTCTCTCTCCTCCCCTGGCTGGGAGCATACCTCCCCCATACCACCCAGAAGTCCCCTCAGACCACAGCCAGTCCTAGCCAGGGCAGGGCGTGGTTCCAAGGAGGAAAGTTATCAGTGGCGACCACACCCAGCAAGAGACACACCCCACTTCTGCAGAAGAGCCCAACAACAAAGATAAACATAAAGGGAAAAAGTCAAAGAAAAACCCACCCATCACTGGGTTAGGCAGGGAGAGCCCCCAATCATCCCATGATGGGGGAAGGGCAAAGGTTATGTCTTCATTTTGTAGGAAGGTAAACTGAGGCTCAGAAAGCTCACACAGCTTTGGAGCTGCTTCACACCTTAACACTACTGACTGTAAATCTAAAAATGGCCAGGATGGTACATTGTGTGTTATACAGTTCAGGTTTAGCATGTTCACCTGGCATATGGGGGGAAGGATCACAGAGGTTTCCAAAGACCACCTCATGGGGAAATGGCAGGAGCCAGAGTAACTCATGGGAACCAGGTGGGGGATCTTAGTGACCATGGGCTACAAAAAAGCCAAATAAGGTGGTGTGGTGGCCAGAAATCATGGGTTCCTGGAAGATGGGTTGATCCCCCAAAGTCCCCATTTGGGCTGGACTCTGAGGCAAAAAGTTAAAAAAACAACAACAACAACAACAAAAAACCCCACCCCACCCATCCCTGCGTGGCCCATCTGCACTGTACCTGGCTTTCTCCTGCTTGCTGGCCTGCTGTTTTCTGGGGGTGGGCCTGTGTGTGACCCTCTTAAACTTCTTACCCCCTTTGTGGGAGCTTCCTTTATCTTACTCATTTTTATGACTAGGAACCGAGGCTTGAGAAGGGACATAATCTGCCTCAATTCCACAAGCCCGCGGGTAGGAAGAGGTCCACCAGGAAGGAAACAGTATCTCATGCAAGTGCCATCCTGACCTCCCACCCCACAGCCTAAGAATCACCAGACAAAGGGAATGACTGAGGGGTCACCTAGGAGACGGATCAGGCTCAGTGGGGACAGCTGAGAGCAGTAGAAAGAAAAGAGACTTCAGGTTGGCAGCTGCCCTCAGATCCACGAAGGGAGAGAAGAGGAAGGAAAAGAGCTACGATTTCTCAAGAACCACCTCTGTGTCAAGGCCCTCAGAGCAGGATCTGCCCAAGGGGCCCCAGCAAGTCAGGGGCTGTGGAGAAATGACTAGGACTGCTGGAAGCTGCAGTGGCTCCCTGGGGCCAAGGAAAGGATAGGGCCAGTCATTTGCTGGGGCGCAGGGTATAGGCGTCCTAGATGGGGCTGCTGTGGGTCCTTTGAGGCCGCAAGGCCGTCTGTGCCTCAACCACCCAGCTGAAAGCTTCCATCCCTCAGCATCCCTCTTCCCCCTGAAGCCTCCTTGAGTCCAGTACAGCTCTTTTCTCTGCCTCTCCAGACTCTTCTTGAAGGAGGTCATGACAATGAGGGGCCAGGGCAGGAACTGTGAACAGGCCCCTTCTGTCCTCTTGGCAAGAGGCTGGAAAACAACCTGATTCCACCTTTGGGGCAAAGCAGGTTTTGCCTGTCTACCAGGAAGAAAGTAAAAAGTAGATTAAAAAAAAAAAAAAAAGATAGTTCCTGCTTTGGAAGCCTGGGTACCCGGCAGTTCAAGAGGCCAATCCCAGTTCTGTCTTTTCCTAGCTGTGTGATCTGGCCCATGCTGCTGATCCTTCTGTGTAGCATTCCCCATACATAAAATGGGGATACCAGTAGTTGCTTCACAGGGTTGTTGTGAAAATTAAGTGCATTAATCTATGAGATGCTTTAGAAAGGTTCTGGAACATAATGAAAAGTTATTAAATGTCCATGAGACTTGTTACTATTAGGTGAAACCCTTTAGCCTCGGGCTTTGGGAGAACCTGCCTCATCTGATTCCTTTCCTATTTTAAAGGGAGAGGGCTGCTAGAAGTTCAGTTGACTTGTAAGCGGGCAAGATGGTGACTCCTTGTGGTGCTTGTGGTCTTAGCTACCAGGAGGCTGAGGTTAGGTTGCTAGAATCTAGGAATTTGAGACCAGCCTGGACAACATAGTGAGACCCTATCTCAAAAAATGAAACAAAACACCAGGTGCAGTGGTGCATGCCCGAAATTTCAGTGACTGGGAGGACTGAGGCAGGAGGATGGTGATTTCAAAGCCAGCCTCAGCAACTTAGTGAGGCCCTAAGCAACTCAGCGAGACCCTGTCTCAAAAAAGTTAAAAGGCTGGGGATGTGGCTCAGTGGTTAAGTGCCCCTGGTTTTATCCCTGGTACCAAAACAAAACAAACAAACAAAAAAACCCCAAAATCCTTGCAGGCATACTTCCGTACCTTCAAGCCCAGGTATTTTTTGAATAAATGAGTAAACAAATAAATGAGGTTCTCACACCAGCACAGTGAAGGTACTAGGACAGGATTTCTTATTACAAATGTGAAAATCCTGTTTACGGCTGGCTGCCTCTTTTCCTAATGCAGGAATAAGTAATGAAGAGTTGCTCAGTTGCTTCTGGGAATAGAAAATATATTTTCTGCAGCATTAACCCCCTCTAGACTGCCTCTCTCCAATAGATTACCAGGAGACACAGTTGTTTAAGGACAGAAGGAACCAAAGTAGAGGACAGCACTTGCTCAGGCTGCTCAAGCTGTAACCCTTTCTACACCCGCCAGGCTTGCCTAGAGGCAAGCCCCTGTCCCCTGGGCCCCAGCTCCACTACTATGTGCAAAAGAAGGATGACAGCTGTGGTTTTCAAAAAATGCGGTTCAGAGCAAGAAAACCCTTTCTTTGAATGAAACCATCAAGAAAATTAACAAAAGAAGTGAAATTACTAGGGCTTAGTGGCCCACATAACCTCTCCCTGCAAAGACCTAAGGGCCTCAGTAGAAAATTTCTGGACTAGGTCCCCAAGGGCCCTCTGCTCTGATGTGTGTCCACGGACACTGAAATTCTTAGAGTGTGTGTGGAAGTCACTATCAGCCAGTCCAGCTGGGGAGGGGTTGGGGTTGGAGATGTGGTCAGTGCGGCATGGAAGAAAGTGCACAGCTGAGAAGTCAAAGCTCTGCTTTCAAATCCCAGTTTGCTTGCTTGCTTAGTGGTCAAGGCATGAGTTTGGGCAAGGTACTCAAGCTCTGTAAGTGTAAAATGAGCTGATGGTAACAGCCCTATTATAAAGGTTGACAACATATAAAATACCTCCCAGTCTGACATGCAGTTGGAGCTTAATGATTGGTAATTGCTATTGCTAGGGACAAGAGGCTTCCACTGAGCCCAAGGCCACTGCCTTCCTCTGTTCCCAACACTTGCTATATACCAAGGCCTAGCAGGGAGACCAGGCCTGGGAGTAGGAGCGGGGGTCTTCCAACAGTGAGCCCTGCAGTTTCCAGGCTTGGAGCTTTGTCAGTTGTGGTGACTTCACAGGGATGCCCATTACCCCAAGTTCTGGGCTCATCTGAGGTTAAGGATGAAAAAGAGCCTGGCTCACGTGCAGTGATGAGGAAACTGAGGCCCAGAAAAGGGAGAGACTGATTTCTTAAGTGGTCTTTTTGGAGCCATGTATGTTCCTATATGGACACATGTTCCTGCTCTGAGGAAGCAGACAGCAGCCCCAGCTAGTGGCCTGGAACTTCAAGGTGGGCTTATGATGAAGGTTTGTTGGAATTGGTCACCTAGAAAAGTCACTTCCTCTTAGAGTCCATTAGAAGAGGGGTCCACAGTATTATGCAGAGGGACAAATAAAATCCACTGGGCTATGAGAGCGGGGCTGGGTTAGGATTCTGGAAAGACTAGGATTCCTGGGTATATGGCAGGGGAGGGATGGCACCTGACTCAGCTGTAACCTGCCTCCTGCCCCTGGCCCCCTCCTGAGTGTGAAGTCATCCTCCTCTGAAACCTGCCTGCTCTTCTTCAGTCCAGATGGCACCACTGCCATCTTGCACCAAAACTCATGACTCTGACCCAGGTCCCTTCTCCTTTCCAGTCCACACCTCTGCCCTAGATGCCTGTGTCATTCCTGTCTGTAACTATAGCAGTCCTCCCACCCCCAACCTCTATTCTCCCCTTCTGATCTGCCCTCTGCCCTGGCAAGCTCTAGTCCAGGGACATTTAATGGCACCCCAGGTCCCATAAGATAAAGCCCAATTCCCAAGACCCTGTAGGATTGATTCACCTCTTCTAAAAGCCTTCAATGAGCCCCATGCAGAGATGTCTCCCTCTCCTGAACTTTCACTGCTCTTCACTTGCATGTCCTGTGGCTTGGATCACTTCCCACTTTTTCGTGGAGCACTGTGGTGCCTGCCTTTCCCTCAACCAGCTTTACTGATTCATTTCACAATCCAAATGAACACTCCTGAGGATGGCCCATTGATAGACAGCACTGGGTTTACAAATTGGTACAGAGCTCACAGATGGTGAGAAGAGAAGGGCGAGAGGAAGAGATTAAAAAAGAAGAATGGGAACATAGCCGATTATCAGTAGTTCTGGAAAGCTGTTTTGGGTAAAAATATAGCTGGTTAAAATATAGCTTTAGAGAATTTGTGGATTTTCTCCTAAATCTATAGAGAAATAAATTGATTTCCCAAGTAGAGATCAGAATGCTCTCTAGCATCTGCCATAGTTTGCCCCATCACTACCTATCATCCTGTTCTTTTAACTACAAGACAACCTCTTCACCTTCCCATATAGGAAGCACCTTGGGGATCATATTGTACAGATGGGGAAACTGAAGCACAGAGGGGGAAAGAGCCTTGCTCAATATCACAGAGCAAGGGATTTTTTTTTTTTAGTTGTTGATAGACCTTTATTTATTTATTTATTTATATGTGGTGCTGAGAATTGAATCCAGTGCCTCACTGGCGCTATGCTACAATCCCAGCCCCCAGAGCAAGTGATTTTTCAGACCAGAACTGAAGTCAGACCTTCCAGGAGAGCTGGAAGTAAAGTGGGTTAGGACCAAAGCCAGAGAAAGTCACTTACTCCCCATGCTGGCATCTCATGAGGACAGACCCACGAAGGTACAAAACCTTACTTATCTGAGGCTGACAACCTCAGTGAAGCAGGACTTCTGAACTCTATCCATTAGCTGTTCTTGAGGGGCTGTGCGAGGTGGGGCACGCCTGTAATCCCAGCAGCTAGGAGGCAGAGGTAGGAGGATCACAAGTTCAAAGCCAGCCTCAGCAACTTAGTGAGGCCCTAAGAAATTTATTGAGACCCTCTCTCAGAATAAAACATAAAAAGGGCTGGGGTTGTGGCTCAGTGGTTAAGTGCTCTGGGTTCAATCCCTGGTACCAAAAAAAAAAAAAAAAAAAGAACTTCCTGTTGGGTAGAAACTATGGTGAGATAAACACAAACATTCCTAGCCACGAGAAGTGAGGAGTCAGTGGGGAGCTGGTCTATGGCTAAACATTCCTCCAGGCCCACACAGGAGAGGATATGAAAAAGAACACACAGAGTTAGCACAGAGTTAGCCTTCCCTCGGTGGGGGATCAGGGATGGGCTTCCAGAAGTGCTTAGAAGGATGAGGAGGACTGTCAGGCTGGGGATCAGAGTTGGGCCAGGGTCATTCAGAGTGCCAGGGAAAGGCACCAGTGTGCCAGCCTCAGCTGCAGTGCAGAGTGTAGGCAAGGGATGGTGAAAGGATGGTGACCAAGGCCCAGAGGGCCTGAGGCAGGGCTGAAGAATGTGCTCTTTTAATCTGCATACATGGATGGGACAGTGTTTGGGAGGACAGAGGGGCACCTGCATTTCAGAAAGGTCACCATGAAAATCAGTGGTGAGGACAGGCAGCAACAGGTTGGAGATAAAAAAGGAGTCAGACTGTGCCTGGCACCTGGCCTGGCACAGAGAGGCACTCAGAAGAAGAGGAGCCACGAAAGAATGAAAAGGATGCTCAGAGTTGTCCTTAGGAGGACTGGACGGAACAGGGTGATTTGCAGGGAGAGATGCTGTCAGTTAGTGGCTTTTTCCAACTGTAACTTTGTCCTTCTCCTGAAACAAAGCAAAAGCCACGCCTTGGCCGGACGCAGAGCGCAAATCCCATCAGCGCCTAGAAAACCTCCCTGACGCAATGTCTGGCCTGCAGCCAGGGGGACCCTCCCTCGGTCTCGCCTTCCTTCCCTCTCTCCCGGTGGTCTCACCGTCACTTTAGCTTTCTGGTTGCCCCGGAAACTGTCCAGGCTGCGCCGCTGGACGCTTTGCCCCGTGCGCCCTGCATCCCGCACCCAGGGGTCCCGCATCGCAGCCAGAGCTGCATCTCTGGAGCAGAGGCAGCGGTTCCGCTCCCCGAGACCAGGGTGGCGGAGACCAGGGCGAGGGTCCAGGAGTCTGGGACTCCGGAGTCAAGCCAGCACCGCGGCTTACCTGACTTGCCCATGGCCGGCTCTGCGAGCTCCTCCGCTCCGGCTGCGGCTGCGGCTGCGCCTGCGGCTGCGGCTGCGCTGGCGGCACTTAGTGGCGGGCCCCAGCAGCTCCACCAGCCAGGAGTGGGCCGAGCGGCCGCAGCCCCTCCCCCGGAGCCGCCCGGCCTCCGCCTTATAAGGTAATGACAGCTGCAGGCGGAGGCGCTTGGGGCCACCCGCGGGACTCCCCGAGAACTCCTCTAGCGAAGGGAATTCCTCCACTGCCCGGGGCTCTCCGAGTGCGGACCAGAGCTCGGGCCTCCTGGGTCGCGGTCCCTAGCGGTCCCCTCTCTGGGGATGGAAGAGGGCCGCGCGCGCCTGCCACGTGGTTCCTGGGAACTCCTCCGAGACTGACACTCTGCGAGGACCGCGGTGCTCTCTAGCAAGGTTCCAGGGACGGTTCGGGCCAGCGCCACCAGGGGTCGGTACCCTCCCCACCTCAGTCTGTCCCGACAGGCCCCCAGTGTGCTCCTTCCCTTCCCCAGGGACTCTGGGCTCCAGAGCTCCTCTCTCCAGGACATACTTACCTCGACGCGCGTCCGGGTAGGAATTTGGCACTCCCAGACCCTCCTGCGTGAGCTGCCCCAGGGAGGCTCCTGCAGACCGGTCTAACCTACTCATTTGACCCTCACTGCCTGTCAGATCCAGCCAAATTCCCCACCTCTGAAGTCTGGCTTCATTCAGACTTGCCTCTTTACTTCTCTAGCTTTGTACCACGCTCCCTTCAAACTTGATTTCGTGATACTTCCAAAACATATGCTTGGATTTCCCACATCTTTGCCGTTTCCTCAGGCTGTTTCCTCCCTGCAACTGCAATGGGTAGAGAAGGGCTGCTGCCTGTCTCTACCCACTGCAGTTCAACCCACTCCTCAAGGTCTGCCAGTCTTTTCAGTTACAGAGGCTCTCACCTTTCCTGGTCTTAGCCATAGTACACACCCGGTATTGGGGAGAGTTGGTCACTGTTGAGGCCCCACCCTTATGTGAGAAGAGCTTGGGGGCATTCTGAAGGTGTATCCTGAGTCACCCTAGCCAGACTCCCCTCAGTGACTCCTTCATGGGAAGAGGCTCTGGGAAACCCTCCTGTAGGATATTAACTTCAAGACTTTCCCCCCCCCCCAATAAATGGGTACTGACATGAACAGACCTGCTGATTATGAGGGCAGAATTTGTAATACCAAGGGCTTACAAATGTCCAGTAGGATAATAGGGTTGATACTGCCCCCTCTATTCTATGCCAGGCAAATGCCCTTTTGTACTTTCATGTTAGAGTGGGTCAAACTAGTGCCCACTGAGTTAAAAGAGATTTCTGGTGCTAGGTGGACATGCCTACAGTCATACCTGACACGCCTACAGTCACCACTGTTAATTCTTATCAGGGGATTAATACACTGATTTGGTTAAACCTCTATACCCAATCATTTCTGCTCTAAACTTTCTTGCATTCTCTGACACATGAGCTTTTGGGGGACACTGCAGATCTAAAGCATAACAATAATCATTTGATATGTTTAATTCCCTCTTCCATTTGCCAACAAATCCCCATTGAAATCATCAGAATGTCATTGGTCAGGGGTCCAAGGAGGTCCCTCCAAAGAGAATGGGACCTCAACTCAGCCTGGGCAGGGTCTTGACTTTTCTTGTTGAAAAGAATTCCAGGATAGATCAATAGCAAGATGCAACAAAGATTTATTTAAGGAGAGCAAGGTATATACCTCCCAAAAGCAGAATGTGGGCATCCCTGGCTTCTCAGAGAAGGCAAGTGACACACAGGGTTGAACTCATTGATTATATACATGATTTTCACAGGAAGAAACACGCAGCTTCCAAGGCAAGCTTTTTTGAAAATCAAATCCCATGATAACTGTTTTAGTTAGCTTTTTCACTGCTGTGACCAAAAGACCTGATTAGAAAAACTAAAGGAGGAAAAGTTTACTTGGGGGCTCACAATTTCAGAGGTCTCAGTCTATATAAGATAGCTTTATTCCTCAGGGCTCAGGGTAAGGAGGAAGAGTGTGGTGGAGGAAAGCAGCTCAAGACATGGAACAGGAAGCAGAAAGAAATTAAGCTCAGTTCACAAAATATAAAAGGCACACCCCCAATGACCCACTTCCTTCAGCCATACCCAACACGCCGACAGTCACCACTGTTAATCCTTATTAGGGGATTAATACACTGATTTGGTTAAACCTCTATACCCCATCATTTCTGCTCTAAACTTTCTTGCATTCTCTCACACAAGAGCTTTTGGGGGACTCTGCAGATCTAAAGCACAACAATAATCATTTGATATTTGGGGCTCGGGGTGTTTCTTTTTGGTTAAGCAGTCTAGCCACAAATCATTTGTGGGCACATTGAGTAAGTCTTTGAATCTGGTGACATTAAATTGATTATGTTTTTGTCCTTGTTGATGTGTTGCAAGCACAGCTGGAGGTTTCGTTTATCTAAGGGTCTCCATCTACTGAGTCTCTTTTTCTCTCTCCCTGAGAACTCACCTGTGTCAAAATGGCCTCCAGAATCTTTAGAAAGCTGTTTCGGTATACCCTGAACTTCAAGGTCAAGAGTAGAGACTGCTGAGACTAGAGGAGCCACTTACTGCACGCAGAGGGGTAGCCCATCTGGGACTACCAGGCCTCAGTCACTCACTCACTGTTCAGAGGTGAGTCATGGAGGTGAGAAGACAGGGTCAAATTCTTAACTCAGTGGTATCTCTGGAGTCTGTGTGGGGTGGGATGCTGTGGGCTCTTTGAGCTGACCTTAGCAGCAGGCCTAGTGCTGAATGAAGTGAGGGTATGGCCTAGCTGGCCCCTACCAAGAGCCATGGGCTGGTTAGAGGGGAGGTACTGCCCCAGTGAGCAGACAGAGATAAGCAACAAACAATAAGGTCAGACACAAAGAAGAGCGAGTCACCCAATTTATGAATTTTTGTTGTGTTTATGTCTTATTTAAGAATGCCTGGCCCAGCATGGTGGCACTCTCCCATAATCCCAGCTACTCAGGAGGCTGAGGCAGGAGGATTGTCAAGTTTGAGGCCATCCTGGGCAACTTAATGAGATCCTATGTCAAATTTTTAAAACATTAACAAGTCTGGGGATGTAGTTCAGTGGTAGGGCACCCCTGGGTTCAATCCCCAGTAGAAACACTGACTACAAAAGAAAACAGAATAAGAGAAAATAACTTCTGGGCTGATATAGCTCAGGGGTACAGCATATGCTGAGCCTGGGGAAACCCCTGAGTTCATTTCCTAGCAACAAAAACAAAAACAAAAACAGAACTCCTTTCCTATTCCAAAATCATGAAAATTGAGCTAGGGATGTAGCTCAGCAGTACAGAACTTGCCTAACATGTTAAAGGTCTTGGGTTCCATCACCAGCACCGCCGCGCCCCCCCCCCTCACCCCGGAAAAAAGATCATGAAAAATTTCCTGTTTTCTTCAGGAAGTTTGACTTTTAGTTTTTACATTTAATTCAAGCTCTTTTATTCTTATTTTATTGTGGCATAGTGTGGTTGTGGTTCTCTCTCCTTTCTTCTTTTTTTCTTCTTTTTTTCTTTTCTATTTGGCACTGACTATTCCAGTATCATTTCTTCAAAAGATTTTTCTTTTCCAGGTGGCTATCTATCTGTGGGCTCTCTATTCTGTTCCATTATCTACATATGTATTCTTATACCAGTACCACACTGTCTAGATTACTATAGCTTTATAACAAATTTTTAAAAAATTTTTTTTAGTTGTCGATGGACCTTTAATTTATTTATATGTGGTGCTGAGAATTGAGCCCAGTGCCTCACACATGCTAGAAAAGCACTCTTCCACTGAGCTACAACTCCAGCCCCTACAACAAATTTTGAAATAAGGTAGTATAAATCCTCTTACTTTTTTTTCTCCCAGAAGTTGTTTTATTTAAGTCTTTTGTTCGATATGAATTTTAGAGTCAGCTTGTCAATTACATTTTTTTTTTTTCCTTTTTTAGTGCCAGGAATCAAACTCAAGGCCTTGTGAATGCTTGGCAAGTGCTCTACCACTGAGCTACATCCCTAGTCTAGTTCCTGGAAAATAAAACAAAAAAGTTTGTTGGGATTTTGATGTGGATTGCATTAAATGTGTAATTAAACTTGGGGAGAATTGACCTCAATGATATTGAGTTTTCTGATCTATCAGGATGGTATATCTTTCAGTTCATTTTTTAATCTTTAATTTCTCTTGCCATGTTTTATGGGATATTGGTCTGCAGTTAGCTTTTTATTTATTTATTTTTATTGTTATTGTTTTTTTTTTAAGAATATTTATTCTTAAGTTTTAGGTGGACACAATATCATTTTACATTTATGTGGTGAGGATTGAACCCAGTGCCTCGTGCATGCTAGGCTAGCACTCTACCACTGAGCCACAACACCAGCCCCTTTATTGTTATTGTTGTTACTGGGGATTGAACTCAGAGGTGCTCTACCACTGAGCCACATCTCCAGCCCTTTTTATCTTTTTTGTTTGTTTGTTTTTGAGACAGGGTCTCATCAAGTTGCCAGGGCTGCCCTTGAACTTACAATCCTCTTGCCCCAGCCTCCTGAGTCCCTGGAATTACAGCTGTGCACATTACCATGCCTGACAGTTTTTTTCTTACTATATATATATATATATATATATATATATATATATATATATTTTTTTTTTTTTTTTTTTTTTTTTCAGATTTGGGCATCAGAGTGATGCTGGCATTACAAAATAAATTGAAAAGGGTCGTCTATTTTCTAAAAGAGTTTGTGTAGAATTTGTATTATTCTTAAATATTTGCTATAAATCAACAATGAAGCCTTCTATTCAAAGAGGTGTTTGTTTTGTTGGTTTTTTTTTTTGGGGGGGGGGGAATTTTGAACTACAAATTTAATATTATGAATAGATATAGAACCATCCAGATTATGTACGTCTTAAATGAGCATTGGTAGCTTGTATATTTTAAGGAATTTGCCTATTTTGCTCATCTTAGTAGTCAAATTTATAGGAATAAATTTGTTTATAAAACTTTCTTGGTAGTTTTTAAATTGCCTGTGTGATCTATGGTGTTATCCTCTTATTATTTCTTATATTAGCAACATCAGAATTTTACCA